GGGGGGGGGGCAAGAGCGCGTGCGAGAGAGGGGAGCGAGATCGTGCGACCGAGAGAGAGGGCGAGAGCGCGCGAACGAGAGAGAGAGAAGGCGAGAGCACGCGCGCGCGAGAGATAGGGGCAAGAACGCGTGCGGGGGGGGGGTGAGAGCGCGCGCGAGAGAGGGGAGCGAGATCGTGCGACCGAGAGAGAGGGCGAGAGTGTGCGAACGAGAGAGAGAGAAGGCGAGAGCACGCGCGCGAGAGAGAGAGGGTGAGAGAGCGCGCGCGCGAGAGAGAGTGCGCACGCGAGAGAGGGCAAGAGCGCGCGCGAGAGACAGCGAGGGCGAGAGAGACAGCGCGCGCGAGAGAGAGAGTGCATGCGCGAGAGAGCGTGCGAGAGAGAGGCAGAGTGTGTGTGTGGCAGAAAGAGGGTGTGTATGTGGCAGAGAGTGAGTGTGAGAGAGAGAGAGAAAGAGACAGCGATACGGAAAGAGAGGGCTTGAGGGAGAGAGAGAATGTGTGTGTGTGTATGAGGAAGAGAGAGAGAGAGTGTGTGTGTGAGGGAGAGAGACTATCAGTGTGTGAGGGAGACAGTGTGTGTGTATGTGTGAGGGAGAGAATGTACGCATCTGTGTATGAGGGAGAGAGAGAGTGAATGTGTGTGCGAGAGAGAGAGAATGTGTATGTGGGAGTGAGAAAGAGAATGTGTGTGTGTATGACAGAGAGAGACTGTATCAGTGTGTGTGGGAGAATGCATGTGTGTGTACGTATGAGGAAGAGAGAGAGAGTGTGTGTATGTGAGGGAGAGAGAGTGAGTGAGAGAGAGACAGAGAATGTAAGAGAGAGACAGACTCACACAGTGAGTGAGGGAGTGTGTGTGTCTGAGGGAGAGTGTATGCGAGAGTGTGTGAGTGAGTGAGATAGCGTGTGTGTGAGAGAGAGAGGGAATGTGTGCGTGTGTCTGAGGGAGAGACAGTGAGTGTGTGTGCGCGCATGTGTATGACTGGGTGGGGAGAGAGAGAATATGTATGTGTATGTGAGTGAGTGTGTGTGAGGAGAGAGGGAGTGTGTGTGTGTGTGAGAGAGAGAGAGAGGGAGAGAGAGTGTGTTTGCGTGTGTCTTTATGTGTGAGGGAGAGAGGGGGAAAGTGTGTGTGAGATAGTGTGCGTGTGAGGCTGAGAGAGTGTGTATGTAGGTGAGGGAGAGAGAGGGAGTGTGTGTGGGAGAAAGAGTTAATGTGTGTGTGTGTGTGTGTGTGCGCGCGCGTGTGCGTGTGAGAGAGAGACACACACACAGA